CCACTGAGCAGGCTGGTGGTGGTGGTGTAATGGTGTGGGGGATGTTTTTTTGGCACACTTTAGGCCCCTTAGTGCCAATTGGGCATCGTTTAAATGCCACGGCCTACCTGAGCATTGTTTCTGACCATGTCCATCCCTTTATGGCCACCATGTACCCATCCTCTGATGGCTACTTCCACCATGTCACAAAGCTCTAATCATTTCAAATTGGTTTCTTGAACATGACAATGAGTTCACTGTACTAAAATGGCCTCCACAGTCACCAGATCTCAACCCAATAGAGCATCTTTGGGATGTGGTGGAACGGGAGATTCGCATCATGGATGTGCAGCCGACAAATCTGCGGCAACTGTGTGATGCCATCATGTCAATATGGACCAAACTCCCTGAGGAATGCTTCCAGCACCTTGTTGAATCTATGCCACGAAGAATTGAGGCAGTTCTGAAGGCAAAAGGGGGTCCAACCCGTTACTAGCATGGGGTACCTAATAAAGTGGCCGGTGAGTGTATTTACATGGCCGTGAAAGATAGCGATAATGTTAAGCGCACCATAATTAAATAATATATTAAGAAGTAAAAACAGCTACGCTGTTTACTTCTTAATATCTATTAGATAGATATTAAGAAGTAAACAGCGTAGCTTTAAATAAACATATTAAACTTTTACGCAGTTAATCTGTTTTGCAGTTCGTGCCTCTGTTGTTTTCGGTTGCAAATTGCTGTTCACAGGCTTGCAGTGCTTTTGGCCGCATTTGTGCGCAAAAACCGTGGCAAAAGTATAAGCGCGGAAAAATGAAAGTTTGAAGAATACAGATCCTATTTATTTTGCATTAGCATGAAGCTGCAGCTCAAAAATGCATGAATTACACTTACGAATAACAGTTAAATGCTGCAAATATTTATTTCTTACACTTGAAGGGCGATTTACACCTTTACAAATCTAATTTACGCTTGCAATCTTATGTACGCTTTCACAAATCTTAAGGCCATTGCACACAGAGTCCGACATTTTCGTATGCGTTTTTTCGTATTCGTGATTAGGTGGGTCTGAATTGTCAAAACACCATTCAAACTCCATTCAAACTGCTTGCTACGGATGCGAAAAACGCAGAAAATCGAACCCGATTCGATTTTTTTTATGACGGACGAAAGTTTCGGAGGCAGTGTGCAAGCGTGATTGACATAACGTGAGGTCGTATTTATTTTCAGTGTGGAATGGCCTTACCGTGTGCAATGGCCTTACCTGTGCATGCGATTCTTTATGTCATAATTTTACCTTCATAGATTTGCTGTCACACGATCGGTAAGAGGATTACTATACTCGTTAAAGCCTGTTATATACTGTTGAATAGGCAGGGCAACTATTTACCATAGCATATTAAACATCACATAGTTAACATAGCACATTAAACATCACATAGTTAACATATACATGCTATAGCACATTAAACATCACATAGTTAACATATACATGCTAACTTCAGCGTGCATGACACATAACGTTAATAGCATTTACTACAAATGATGGCCGTGAAAGAGACTGCGAACGCATTAAATATAATATTAAGAAGTAAACAGCGTAGCTGGCTTACAGATTCAGTTAACAATATAATATTAAGAAGTAAACAGCATAGCTGGCTTACAGATTCAGTTAACAAATGAATAAGCGCGACGATTCAGGGAGCAAATCTGCTTTCTTCGTCCCTCTGTCTCTGGTCCTGCGATGTGCTCACTCAGTATGCAGTGTGAGAGGGGGAGTGGCCAGCGGCTAGAGCGGCAAAAACCAATGTGTGCTTCTTTTAGCGATATATTTAGCGATATATTTTGCATTTCTAATCCAAACAACGTCAAACTCGGCACTGCACTTACTCGTGCCTGTAGCAAGACACCTGTCAAGTTTGAGATCAATCGGACTAATGGTTCGAGAGATATGCGATTAACAGACAGACAGACACACACACAGACAGACAGACATTCCTGTAATTTATAGATATAGATGTGTAAAAAGTTCATTTCTGTCTTTATTGTTTGTGGCTTTACAACTGGGTAACATATTAAGATTTTGCAACACTACGTTCTTAGTTGGTGGGCCCCTCCTATTATTCAGATATATATATGGCTGCATGCCACTAAAGTGGACAGTGGTTATAGTTGGGTCCGACCTCACATTTACAACCCGTAAATAAACTTCTAACACATTTTATGTTACACTATAGATCCAGCATAATCTGAAATTAATGTTTGTAAATGGATATGCAGACCTCCTGAGAATGGAGCTGTAAACATGATGTTGTTTTGGTACTTATACCGCAAATATATATTCTTAAGGACATCAAACCCTGAAATAAAACTCCAGAAAGGTGTACAATATGGGATCTTTAATATAAAAAGTCTAGATTTTGCGGGACTAGTTGATGTGACTTTTATTTTGACAACAGAAACTGGGTTTAAACGTCTGCACCATATCAACACGCAATAACGCGTCTTCTCGTTGTATCGTCTGTACACGTTAGGTGTAAAGAAATAGCTGTCTGTATGGCCTTCCATTCGTCTAAAGAAATATTGGTATTTTCCATATGTAAAATAAATGTCTTTTCAGCTCTCCATAACATGTACATTTCGTCTCGGAGTGATGACGTGTCCACCGGCGCGTTCTCACTCAGTCAAAGAAGTCTTCTGAGGTGAGTTACTCACAGCTTTGTATATATATATATATATAAAAACTCACAGCTTTGTATATTAACAAAAGCATGACAAAAAGTTTGTATAAGCGACGTTTTTGCTGTCCTTTCTGTCTTGTTTTCATTTGATTCTGCGCTATTTTTTGCATTTTTTCTGGCGTCTGCCTACTGGAATACACATTTAGCGTAGCTGGCAATTTGACGGTTTCTTTGTGCGATTTTTTTTGTGTTTTTGTTTGTTTGTGTGTATGAGTGTTTCGATGTTACTCTAAGTTGTACGTTTGATGCATTATTAATTATTTTCTCGTTTAGGTTGTGAGAAATAATACTATTATAGTGCAGTGTATCGTCTTTTTCAGAATACTGACTCATATAATCTGATTATTAATATAAATTGATTATCTCTTTATTTAATGTCAACAGCTTATGTTTTCTCATCATTTGTTAGATCTCTCGTAAATTGTATTTAATCATAAATAATAATCTGTTCCTTAAAGTAATAATTTCATTGTGTTAACAGACTGAAGTGAATTCTTTTGAGATCTTAAAGATAAACCTCTCTTAACTTCATTAATTTTGTTATAGTATGTGGGATGGAAAACATGTTTAAAACATTAAACAAATAAATAATAACCAGCTAACAAAATACGGGTAGTTGAAAAGTTGAGTCAAATATAAAACAATTTAATTTATTTACATTTTGATAGATTGTTAGTGGATAGTTAAACGTAACACATAAATGCTTAATGTGTAATTGTATAACTGATTTATTTTTTATTTTTGCAGATCTGATTATCCCATTATACAGCAACTAGCTTTCAGCGAAGTTCCTCCCACAGGAATTCACCAATAGGCCGTGGAATGCTGGAATATTTTCATCAACTTACAAGTGAAGAAATAGTTTAGAGAACATGAATGATCCAGAACCCTGCAGAATAAAACATGAAGATACTGAAAATCTAATAGGTTGGTGTTTATTCTTGATTCTTTATAAATGATGCTGAAGAACATTTAGGGTGACCAGATGAGATTGGCTGAAATTTGGGATGGAGGGGTTGCTTTGGTAGGCTAGGCCTACTATGATATAAGACTACATAGCCTATAATAAAAGATAATGAATTTTAAACCTGAACCAAAACATATTTTTATTCAAAGATCAACAGTCTAGTCATTCTGCCACAAAAAACAACAACATTAAAATCATGAACTCAAATGTCATTGTGAAAAAATAAATAAAAAAAATACAATGACTGTTGTAACAGTGCGTCAATCAGACCTCTCAGGCTATAGCCTAACGCTAATAAGCCTTATGCCAAAAGTATTATTACGACTAAATTGTCGGTCATTAAGAAAACTAAATAATTGTTATAACTCTTTACGACTGGCTGCCTGCACTTTCATTATCCTCGCGGCTGCTGCAACTTGCGCTCGCTTATCAATGCATATTAATTTGTGCCTACGGTATCTTTGTAGAACATCAAAAAAAGAAAAAAATATATAGATGTTATGTAAATGATAGCCTTTTAATGATTGCTTTGCTATCAACATGGATAGACATGTGCAAGGTTTTAATATAACATTAATATTCAAATAACACTGGAATTACTTGTCCGTTACTCGTACACTGTCCTTATAATGCAAGCAATCCCGCGAACTTTCCAGTCAGAACGGCTGATGCAACTCTATAGCACTACGCTTATACTCTACTCTATAGTCTACTAAATAAGCGCAGGCTCCGCAACTGCGCTGATTGCGCTCTATTCAGTGACGTACAGCGCTGATTCTGTGCCCGTTATTATGTTAAACATGAAGAATTCAGAACAATGTGCACCCTTGGTTATGGGAGTATAACCATGATGATTGTATCAAATTTATAAAAGTTGTTGTTAACTCTCTTCTGGTTTATCTCTACTGGTAAATCAACTATTACTGGCATAATTATACATTAGGTGACAAAACAGGACATACATAACTGAAATAGTGTTCACCTCTAATGGCATGTTATGTCACATGCTGAGATAGTCTCCAGGATTATTGTGACCCTAAAAAGGACAAGTGATTTGGGAATGGATAGATATCAGATTAAGAAAGAACTTAAATATATCAGATTTTGTTTTGTTGGTAAAGGTAGTTATTGGTTTCTTTCTGATAAAATATCAGGGTTAAATTCATGTTCTTTCCCTTCTCATTTCTCCAGTTCTTTATGATTTACTGAAAATTAAACCTTGTTTCCTTTTAGATCTGATGGATGACAAGGAGAGTGAAGAACTTAGAAAAGCAAAGGAGAAACATCATGTCAAAGCTGGTAAAAAATCAAGTCGCTCACAGACTGAAAGTAATTTATTGAGAAAATCTTTCACCTCGCCTCAGTGTGGGAAGAGTTTCACAGAAAATGTAATCCTGAAGAGACACATGATAATCCACACTGGAAAGAAGCCACACACATGTGATCAGTGTGGGAAGAGTTTCACGAAAAAAAGAGGCCTTAATGTACACATGAAAATCCACACTGGAGAGAATCTGCACACATGTGATCAGTGTGGGAAAAGTTTCTTAATAAAAAGAGGCCTTAATGTACACATGAAAATCCACACTGGAGAGAATCTGCACACATGTGATCAGTGTGGGAAAAGTTTCTTAATAAAAAGAGGCCTTAATGTACACATGAAAATCCACACTGGAGAGAATCTGCACACATGTGATCAGTGTGGGAAAAGTTTCTTAATAAAAAGAGGCCTTAATAAACACATGAAAATCCACACTGGAAAGAATCTGCACACATGTGATCAGTGTGGGAAAAGTTTCTTAATAAAAAGAGGCCTTAATGTACACATGAAAATCCACACTGGAGAGAATCTGCACACGTGTGATCAGTGCGGGACGAGTTTTATGTATCAAGAGAGCCTGAAGAGTCACATGAGAATCCACACTGGAGAGAAGCCGTACACGTGTGATCAGTGCGGGAAGAGATTTGCACATGTACGCAGTTTTAAATCACATCTGCTTTCTCATTCTGGAGAAAGACCATATAGCTGTGATCAATGTGGTAAATCATATTTTTCAGCATCATCCCTGAAGATCCACCTGAACGTGCATTCAAAGGAGAAGCCTTACATGTGTTCTTTGTGTGGAAAGAGTTTTAGTCTGCTGAGAGCTTTGAAATTACACCAGAAAAGACACAGTGGTGTGAGGAATCATGTGTGCTTTGATTGTGGAAAGACCTTTATTACAGATCATGAAGTGAAACAGCATCAGATGATCCACACTGGAGAAAAACCTTACAAGTGTTCACATTGTGACAAGAGATTCAGTCAGTCAAGCATCCTGAAAACACATCTGAGGGTCCACACCAGAGAGAAAGCTTACAAGTGTTCTCACTGCGACAAGAGATTCAAATGGTCAGAAACCATGAAAAAACATGAGAGGACCCACACTGGAGAAACACCTTATAAGTGTTCACACTGTGACAAGAGTTTCATACAGTCAGGAAACCTGAAATCACACATGAGGATCCACACTGAAGAAAAACCTTACAAGTGTTCACATTGTGACAAGAGATTCAAATGGTCAGAAGCCATGAAAAAAACATGAGATGATGCACACTGGAGAAAAAACATTCAAGTGTTCACACTGCGACAAGAGTTTCATTCAGTCAGGAAACCTGAAGGCACACGAGAGGAATCACACTGGAGAAAAACCTTACAAGTGTTCACTCTGTGGCAAGTGTTTCAATCAGTCAGCACATCTGAAATCACACGAGAGGATCCACACTGGAGAAAAACCTTACAAGTGTTCTCACTGTGACAAGAGTTTCAGTCAGTCAGCACATCTGAAAAAACATGAGAGGATCCACACTGGAGAAAAACTTTACAAGTGTTCACACTGTGAGAACAGTTTCAGTCAGTCAGTAAACCTGAAAAGACATGAGAGAGTGATCCACACTGGAGAGAAGCCGGACCACTGCCCTCCTCGAGGGAAGAGTTTCACTCATTTATCTTCTTTACAACAAGCGACAGGACAATGAAACATCATCTGAAGTTTTTATAGTAAACAGAGTTCATCTTCAAGACCAGCGGTTTCAAGTGTGATTTCAAATCAACTCAAAAGCTCTCTCGATTCAGTGGCTGCAGAAGATCTTCAGATCTTTACTCAACTCCACTTAATCTCAGAGGCAAATATTGTACTTTTTTGACTTTAAGTTTAACTGACTTTACATAAGGAAATTAGATTTTGATATTAGATATTGTATAAAAAAATTAATAGAAACACTAAAAATATATCTTATAGATCAAGGATAGGTAAAGAGTCATAGGTTGGTAAAAATATAAACAATTAAAATCATTACAAATTTAAAATCATTAGTCATTAACTCAGGGGCCGCTTACATGACACTGTTTTCTACTGAAAAAAGAAAAAAAACGTTCAATGTGTTCTTGCGATTCATTTACATGATAGCAGCTTTTTGGTGACCTGAGAACACAATCTGGTTTCAAAGTGCAATTATCATTTGTTCATCTGTATTATATCTGTTTTTTTATTTCTTGACCAGCAATTAAATTTTTGCTCTTAAAGTTGTTTGAGTGTTTTTGTATTTACTAATTCTGGAAACAGACACAGTCTCTATATGACGATTTCTATGTGAAAGAGTCTCTATATGTGATGGGTTTATCTGACTTCTGTGACGTGATACGTCTTTCTGCTAGATGAGCCCCAGTTAGTCAATTTTTAACACTCAGACTATGTGCCATATAACTAGAGAAGAGCGGCACCATCCCAGGAGGGATGTCTGTTTGCTCCAAAAAACTTTTCTAATTATCAATGAAGAGGCTGGTTTGTAAGAGACAAATCTTTATTCTTGTTCATTTTTGTGTTCAATTTATAGTTATATCTGTTTAATTGTTCATGTAAATAGGAACAGGTGCAAAAGTGCATTACAGAAAAGAAAAATAAATTATTAAATGAATAAATAAAAGAAAAAAAAGGAAAAGGGACCTAGGTTATACTTAGTCATTCTTCTATTGTCCCTATACACTTAAATAGGGTAGTTCTTTGAACTGTGGGGATTGAAAGGATGCTGTTTAAAGAAAGCCAATTTTTGTTTTGGTTTGCAAAAACCAAAGTAACAAGTTTTTATTTTTTTTATTTTTTTACAAGTAACAGATGAATTGTCGGCCTTTTGGGAGGTTGATATGGTATTTAATCATGGTTCAAATCAGTCTGCTGGTGTCACTATATATATGAACAAATGCCCAGGCAAAATCATTACTCACAAGGCTGATATAGTTTGCAGCAGTCCTATACTTAAAAAAAAAATATATATATATATATATGTGTATATATATATTTAGATGTATGCTCAAAGCTAACTACCCTACAGAATATATTTTATTCAAGGAGATTTTAGTCGGCCTTACAGCAGTTCGACTTAGCGTGCCATCCTCACTGTTAATTTTATTTGATCTGTCATTTTATAGATATTTGTCATTATGAACAACATTTGGCACAGTTTTCATAATCTTCTGTTGATTTCGCCTATCAGTGTTGATGTTACCAATATAGTGCCCTCACTCACTCAGTGTTTAGTCTTCTGAGCCAGTTCACAATGTTCACAGTTATACAATCATGAAGACAATTTGCTTAACCAACAGTGATTGTTGTATTGTTTTTATTTGTTATACGTTATTTGTGCATCTTTGTATATTTTGGTATATGAATCCTAGAAGTTTTGATAGTAAATACTTCATATTGAGCCTGGGTGTGAGGAGTAACATGGGACCTTTTACATCCCATAAATCGCTAAATTAAGTACCCATTAAATTGCTAAATTCTTGATACTGAATCTGCAATGAGCCACGTTGGACCTTTTAAATGGCATTTGATCATTTATGCATTTATTATCTTTGTTACAATATACGGTGACCGGGAGGGGACATGTTTGGTTCACATGTGTGACACTTATTTCAATTGTTACTCAGTTACTAAAGTAACTATTTATTTGGACTAGCATTGTTAGGTTCGGCCAAGGAGATGGAGTGTAAAAAAAAAAAAAAAGATTCACAGAAATGAGATGATTAAAGAAAATAAGCTGGCTTTACTGACAAAACACAATAAAATCAATCAAACAATCACCATGCAGTTGTCAAAACAGATAATTACCACTTCCTTTAAGATAAATGTCCACCAAAGTTGGTTATATTCTCAATTTTTTCAGTCCTGTTGTGTGTGGAATGTCTTTAAAGACTTATTTCCCTTTCGTTGAGGATAGCCTACACGTTTGTACAATTTATTCTTCAAATTAATTTTAAAATTGTAAAATGTTATTTTTCTAATACTTCTAAATATTGTTTAATTTCTTATTTGTGCTTTATGTGAAAAAAGAATGGTAGTGAATTAGTTATTTTCATTTGGCATATCGGCGTAATGACGTCATTTCACGCTTCACTTGGGCGCGCGCCTGTGATGTGCTTCATTATACAGCAACAGGAAGCGTGGCCAGCATTTACCCGCTATATCTCTATAAACGTCGCAGCTTTTAAAAAAACAATCATCATTCCTAATGCCGATACCTGACAGCCAATCCGAGTCAGAGTAGGGCAGAAAAGCATTTTACACAGCGAGTCTGACAACTGGAGGACTCACTGCCGCAGAAAGAACTGCACGTCGGAATTAAAGCAAGCCTGAGGTAAGTTATGCTGCGTTCCAGGCAGGTTTTTGAGCACGTAAATCACGACTCACGACTTTGTAGCATTTCAGGCCAGTCACGCCAAACTACCTGAGCGCAAGGAATTGTGGTAGCTAGATGTAAACAAACCAGCATGGCGGACCTTACGGGGCTTATGCGCATTTGTAATAATTTCTGTCGCCAAAGGTGCTTACTCCTTGTTTATTTGAGGGAAACGGAGGAGGAAAAACGGCGCATAAGCTGTTATACCTTTTACTTTACTTTATTTGTTGGAAATGTATTTGGTATTAATTTATCCTTGCACTCAATGGACTGAAAACTAGTTAACGTTATATTGTCCTAAAGTGTATTCTCACCGTGTACCGCCTACAGAAACACTGCATCCGTGGGGGCTGCCATTGTTGTTTTGGATGGTTTCGCGGGCTATGTGACGTCAGAGCTCGTAACTGGGAGTACATCGATTTTCTACATGTAGCTGCTGTTTTTTCTAATCATTTCTGCATTTCCTCAATGTTATAAAACGAGCGGTATATATATTCAGAGGTGGAAAGAGTAATAAAATATTCTACTCAAGTAAAAGTACTATTACTTCAATTAAATTTTACTTAAGTACAAGTAAAATTACCGGTCTAAAAATTTACTCAAGTAAAAGTAAAAAGTAGCTCATTTAAAAAATTTACTCAGAGTAAAAGTTGCTGAGTTACTTTTTTAACAGCGGGGGTGGGGGACTCTCCCATGTAGGGTTGTAATGGTATGAGATTTTCACAGTATGATAACGTCTCAGAAAATATCATGGTTTACAGTATTAATCAATTATTAAATAAATAAACGGTATTATTAAATTATGATTATTATTATCATCCTTTAAAATGACAGTTAAATTGGTTGAACAAATGCTTTTATTATAACAAACTTGAAACCCTTTGTTTGTTTTTATTAAAATTTCAATAAAACATGTCTCAATTAAATTCAATAATTGATAATGAATTAGATTAACAACTTATTTTTAACATTAATAATTGATTGAACTCTCAAAGTGGACCAAATTGATGAATTTAACATTAAAGTGGGACAGAGGTACACTAACCACAGTTTTACCAAACATCCTGTGAGAAACGCTGGTATTGCTATGCCAATCCAGCTTACAGTTTTTTTGGGGATCCCCCTCATCTGTTAACTCTGAGGGGATCCCCACAGATTGTATTACTAGATTGACAGAAAAGGAGATGCAAACATTTATTTATCAACACTATAATACTTGTTTCGATAGTGATTAGTTTTGTAACTAGTAACACATTTAATTTCTTTGGAAATCTGTCATTCAGACAATATCACCTATTCAGCTTTAGGGACAAAAGTGGGTACACTCCTTCATGCTTACACCACCACTTAAGTGGATCTTATTTGCCAACTTATTTGCCAATTTGCCAACTTCTTCCCGTGCCCTGTCTGCAGCAGTGGCACAGACTACTGTAGCCACTGGTGCATAGGCTGCCCCAAGCAGATCCAACAGCGCACAGGATTCTTTTGACCTCATTGGTTGGGCTGGGGATGGGTCACCTTCACCAAGGGATTTTTGCTTCTGTACAGGTGCACTGCCTCCATAACCACCACTATCAGATCCTTGCTGCTGATAGTTAGAAACAAGGAAAGTTGTTCAACCTGGTCACCACGTCAATTTTAAGTTTGCAACAGGGCAAGTTCAGTAGCATCTGTTTTTCTTTGTAAACTTTGTTAGCGTTCGTGTTCCTGTGAAAGAATGTCACTACACGCTTAACTCGACCTAGCAACTGAGAGATGGCCGGAAGTTTCAACGCTGCTTGCATGTGTTTTGACCTACTTTTTGTTTAATTATATCTCTAGATAATGAAGATATAGCCTATTAACAAAAATAAATCTTATATATAATATATTATATTTTAAAAACTGCCTATATAAAATATATATTTTTAAAAGGGCCTCATTGATTAATTTTGCCTGGGGCCCCCATCAGTGTTCGTCTCTGATTGGGGGCTGCTACTATTTGCTTGTGACTTGTGTCACCGGATTTACAAATGCACATCTTGCTTGTTGCACGCACACATAGTTATGTCGAAATAACGAGATATTATGTTGAAATAATATTATTAATAATAAATCTTTAAGAATATTTAATTGAATGCTGAATGTTGTGCTTGTTCAATTTAATAAAATTAAAACTGTAATTGTGATAATTAAAATAATTGAATATTAAATATTGAGTTGAGCTGAGGCATGGAAGCTCATCCTTGTGCTGGGTTGGATTAATGTGGTCTGTTCTTGTTCTTTACTGATTGGGTGATAACAGTTCAAATTGATTGGCT